TTGATTCAGTTACGACGGTTGGTTGTGGAAGAAAGAAAGAAATAGAGGATAGGCGGAAAAGGGAAGAGAGAGAAAGATGTGTTTCGTCCTGAGCCTTCTGGTGGGCTCGTCGGTAAGGCTACCTAGAGAGACGGTTGGACTCAGGTTAGAAGTTGTATATACCGGGTGACCAATTTGTTTCCGACAAAACTTCGTCGGTACATTTTATGGGTATAATCAAGGAAAAAATGTTATATGAATATAGGTCGTTTGAAGCTTTGTTAAAAAGTTACAACAATAATACGAAACACGAAGGGAATTGTAACGGGTGTACGATTATTATGATACAAAGTAGGAACAGATCAGCGATATCTGTATCTAGTCTGCTAATGCAAACTGTACTTGCGATTTGAGGTCATTCAAGGTGTTGAACGTAACTTTTGCCAGCGCCATTCTTGTCTTGTATCGTAGCGACCGCTCGTGTTTCATATTTTTGCTATAACTTTTCAACGAAGCTTCAAACGACATATGTTCACATAACATCTTTTTACTTACATCCATAGAACACACTGGTAAAGTTTGATCGAAAATAACTGGGACACCCTGTATAAAAGCCTCGGCGAGTACTAGCGAGAAAGGTTAATGTTAGTTCGTTCCTCTGGCGGTGGAGCATAGAAGTTACGTTCGCATATCTATATCGTTCGATTTTCAAAAGAACGTATTCTTCTCTATTCCAATTTTATCAATTTCATTTTACTCCAAAATGATTAACTCCACTTTTTGATATCCTTCCAAATTTAACATCAAAGCACATGCTTGGCGCTTAATTTTTCCTAAATAAAACAAATTTAACTTTACAGAGTTAGCCACTTTGGCTTCTCAGTGGCTCGTTTCACTCTTCCACCCTTAGTATTTCTCTCCAATGAAATCCTATCATTATTCCCATCGTTGAATCCAACTTCCAAACAGGAAAAAAATGATACGTTTCAAATTCTTTCCTCTTTTCCACGGCGCGCTCTGCACGCTTTTCATCCGTCAGATCGATCGATCCTTTTCCTAATCGAATCTTCCATAGTCGGCGAGAGAGGCACGCCGCGAGCCGAGACGTCGCGACGTCGCTCAGCTCAATCGGATTTCGCGTCTCGCCTCGTTCACCGACGTTAATCTCGATACGAAACGAAATTTCTATTTTCCACCTAGCGTATCTCTTTCTCCCTCTTGTGCAACAACAACTTTCCTTCGTCGTTCCCCAACGCCCGAGTATTTTTTCCCGCGCGAGACGCGTCACCGAAGATTCCTCGAGGTCGGCGAAGAAGGCTAATCGAGATATTAAATTGCACTCGCTCGATCTTCGTCAGGGTTCGAATCTCGACGACACGCCTCGAGTACCGCGTTTCCAGCGATTTTTCCTCAGTTAGCTCGACGATCTCGTCGTTACGGAGAAGAGATTTCGAGTGTTCTCTACACACTATCGCGTGGCAGGTGACAATTCACGCGGGGGAAAATAGGAGAGAACAGTTGGAGGAAACGAATCGATGCTACTCCGTTTCAGGGAAACGCGGAGCGTGTCGTTCGCGTTGTACAATCGATACCTTTCTATTCCACGGGAAAAATAGAGCGTTCCCCGTTCTTGAAAATCGATCTTCCCCGCCGATTCTTCCGTGAATTCGAGACAAGCTTCCGGTGAACGTAAAAGTTAGCCCGATGGAAGGGTACGATCAACTTTTCGCCAAGTTACCTAGAGAAAGGAGTAAGAACAGGGGGAACAGGTAAGGATAACGAAGGTAGCTATAAAAGGATCTCCTTATTAAAGTCTCGCGGAAATTGTTTCCAATAAATCCTCCTTGGCAAATGGAAAAAGGTTTCGTACCTGTCCACCAAATTACCGTCAACACGAACGACTAACAGTCTCCGAAAATAAGAAAAACTTTCCCACGTATACACGTTGATACGTACAATAACCGGAGGAATTTATTCCAAATGCAAGCTCGACTTCTCCAACTCGTTACCTGTTAAATCGACGACGTCCGACCGGGGGTAGGTAAGTCGGTATTCCCCGGGCGATTTTTCACCGCACGCCTCGTCCTCACGTCGCGATTCTTTTTCTCGGTGAACGGTCCAGGGCCACTCGACAGGTAAACCTTCGAGCAAAACGACTTTCAGAGCCCGCAGTAATGTACTTTCACATTTGCAAGAGACCGAGGCATTGAATCGCGTTGGAAACTCGTTTCGTATCGCGTGAAAGAGACGGCGAAACCACGGTAGACGGATAAAGACAGAAGGAGAAACCTCCTTCAAACGGGGAATGATTTTTCGCAACGATGCACCCGACGAGAAGCCTTGCGGGCTTCTCACGAAAATACTAGGCTGTTCGGTTCGTTTCGAGCGGAACGGTACACACCATTCGCCGTCGACGTTCATCGGTTTCCGCGAATCACGCGATTCCTTCACCTCTGTGTACGTATCTGTGTGCGTGTCCTAAACGGTTGAACGTTCAGGTGAGTTTCGAAAGAAAGTCCAAAAAGTAATTGGAGAATTGAAGAAGAAGAAAAAATCGTGGATTTTTCACGGGTACCTTTTCGTGTATACGTTCCTGGTTACACGATGTTTTAGTAGACACGGGCGGACGCGAGATACGGAGCTCCGCTCCGAGAGTATATACTCTGATATTTAGAGAGCGATCTGTATTCACGTTGCCGCGCGGGACACCGAGTGCAGTGACCCAGTGACACGTGGAAAATCTTGTCGGTGGCGTGCGTGCACGAGGTGCGCGTACACGGACCACGAGGAGGTGACTTTGCTTGGCTAATATCGACGATGACAGCGGTAGCGGTGGCACGTAGCTTTTTTGGCAAAGAGGAAAGGTAACCGCGTGGCAGAGCGAGCAGGATCGAAACGCCTAGACCGATACGTAAATAGCGACGATTTTCATTTTACTCCCCACACCTGTGCACCGGGCGAACTTGGGGTGTACGTATTCACCGTGGGACGCATCGTCGTTTGGGGCGGGAAATAGTGAAAGAAAATCTGTGTAGAGATTTTTGAGAGAGAGTAAGAAGGATCGAAGAAATGAAAAATGGTCGATGGAATTTTCTCAGAAAGCGCGTGGACGTGACCGTACACGGTATATATCCGACCGAGAAAGGAGAATAACGGGCCCCGAGAGAACGGCTGTTTATTGCGTTTCCAGGTCAGGACGGGAGCGCGTGAATTTTCGTACGAAAAACGGCTGCCCGCAGGCTCCAGAACCCCTCTCTTCGCCTTTGTCCGTTTTCGAAGGCACTTCCCGTGAAACCGTTGAGGGATTTTAAGTAGGGTGCAGAACCGAGGGCTACGCGAAGAGTGGGGTGTACTGCACGGCTGAGAAGTGGGAGCAGAGGGAGGGGCGTATACACTGCCGTACGGTCCCGGTTCTTTTTATCGCACCCTCCTATACGCCTCTCGGTTCTCTGTGGACCCAATTCGCTTCGAGATATCAACCACGTTGCTCCTTCTACCGTGTAGTATCGGTCAGTTTCGATTTTCTTGTTTGATTTAGAAAATTTCCTATCTCTACCGTTTGTCCCTTAAAACGGTTGATGACGTCAGCAAAGTACACGATAGCGTGACGTTTCGCGTGATCGCCAATGGATATTCTCATTTGGAAATATTCTCACGGCACACACACGGAGCCGTCGTTTTCGTCGATAATTATCCATCACGCCAGTCCGAGATCGTTGGTTCGCGGTTTCGTGTTATACGAAAGAAAAAGAGCGAGTTGTATCTTTAGCACCGGCGGCGGGGACTGACGCAGAAAGATCCGGTTTCACTTGGCAGCAGACGCAAACGGATTATCTTCTAATCTAGAGGCCGAAATTTCTCGCCGTGTTATCGCCTACTTTTGAGAATGTGGTCGAGTGAATCGTTCTGATCGATCGATTAATTGGATACATTTACGTTCTTTCGATTCGTTCGAAGAAAAAAGTAAGCGAGATTTCTCGAGAACGCAGATCCGCGATACCGAGACGGAGGGGACTATTTTTGTGATTTGCGAAAAGACCATCGCAGCGTTATTAATATCTCTGTTACTTGAACGAAATATGTAGTCGTAAAGATACCGCTCTTACCGACGCACGTTTGGGACACCGTGTCCTTCGATCGAATGTGCGCTAAATCGCCCCGACGGTACGTACAGCGAAACTACAGTTGCGTTCCGACAGACTGACAAAGTTCAAGACCGATAAAGCGTCCCCGACGAACGTCTCTATACGTTCGACATTGTCACGGCGAACAATCGTATATGGCACCACGTACAAAGAAGAAAAGAAAAGAAACTCGACCTTTCTCGTTGGTTACCGCTCGATTAGATTAACAATTAATCAGACGACTAAATTTACATTTGTTGTCGGTATTATGGATCGTGTCATGGCCGTGAAAGTGGTCAGATCGTTGGGAATTTTCCCCGTTTCTGTTGTCTCACTATGACGGTTACAACTGGCTGGTTCGACCACCCGTATACCACTCGCTTACCCTTTTTTTCGTTAGAGATCGGCGTACCGTGGCGTGCGCGCGGCACAACGAGAAATCGATGGTGAAAACGATTGCACGAAACATTTTATTCCGTCGCGACGATGGCTTGCTACGTTGCAAAATTTCACGAAACGGAGAACGTGTTGGAACGTTACGTACGGTTCTCCTTTGGTATTCGCGATAACCAGGTTCGTGTATCGAAAACAAAATTTTGTAGATTGTATATTCCCGCGATGTCGAAAGAGCGTGGACGGTTCGCGACATTTGTTGACGTCACCGTAATTCCGCTCGGAGGAAGGAAAAAGCGAGAACCACGGGACGTTTGAAAATCGACGTACACACGGAGGGAAAATTCGACGTGCGCCGAGCCGCAACGTTGACGGCTGACGCGGTAAAAATTGCAGCATTTTCACGTGGCGATGTGTCCATATGCCCTGCAGATTCGTGCGATAAAGAGGCCGAGGTGCGATGGTTTCTTAAGCGGACGACGGTTGGAGCGCGTGTATACGACGTCAAAGCGTGGCACATGAGTCATTGTGGAGGAAACGGGGACGGGGTGCTTGATGCGCCCACGATATCGTCGTCCCTGCGCGGAAAGTGAGCGTAGACCGCCGAGGCGTCCCGAAGATGGCCGAATCGCGGCCGTCGTGCGGCAGTCGAGCCCGAGCGATCCCCCGATCGCGGTCGTGCGTGCTGGAACGACAGGTACGGGCAGTCAGTAGTGGATTAGCGGCAACGGGAGCAGCAGCAGAAGTAGCGGCGACGGCGACGGTGACGACGACGACAACGACGGTGACGAAGACAGCGACGACAACGACATCGACGATAGCGCAGTGCTGAACGGGAACGGAACGAAGAAGCAAGAAACGAAAGAAAGGAAAACGAGTTGGTGGAGGTATGATCAGTCGTGTCGACGAGAAAGATCATCGAAACGGGTAAATAACGTCGTCACGTTTACCCAGTCCCGGGAGTCCGTCGTTGAGAAAAAAGGAAGGTGCGCGCAGAACGCTGGCTGCTCCACGGAATATGTACGTGACGGAGGTGGGCGAGGGCCGTGTGAAAAAGTGGCGAAAACTGTGAGAGAGGTGCAGTGCCTCCACGTCGGTGGCAGTGGCGGTGTTGGTAGTAGTGGTGCTGGTGGTGTGGTGGTCGTGGCGGTGGTGGTGGTGGCGGTGGCGGTGTGGCGTTGCTGGTGCTACATCGGTGTGTATGCGCGCGTGTGTTGGTGGGACACGCACTTCGGCGGGGCCGTGGTTGTTCTTGCTCTCTCTCTCCTGTTGTCCCGTCTCGTTCCCTCGTTCTCTCTTACCCCTCTATTCACCGCGACCATCCTCCTCTTTGTCGCACTCACGGAGGCCATCGTACCGAAAGCGACCGAGCCAGGCCAGCCACTACGCAAGATGGCTGTGTGTCGCTAACGAGAGGCCGACAAACCAGACGGGGAAAAGACAACCCGGGGATAAACGGAACATGCTGCTACGTGATCGTCGGGCCCGTCCCTGAACAGAGAGACACTGGCCAAGAAGCGAGAGGTACGTTCTATTATTTTTTTTTACTACTGCTTACATTTAACCCTCGATCCGCTTCGTTTTCCTTCCTTTCTTCGCTCTTTCTCTCCGACACACACACACACCGATATACCATATTTCCATCCCTGTTCCACCAAACTAACAACGCCGTTCGCTATTTTTTTCGTGATTTTGCGAATGACAGGTTGCCGAAAGTATCGAGACTCGCGTGTCTTACATGTCTCTCTCCCGATCCGACGATACGCGTACTCTCTATCGTCACGTATATGCGCATACATCGCGAACGTCGTGTTTCGTACGTGAAAAACATAAACAAGCTAAAGTTCTCCCCTAACGATGAACATTGTGTATTGTTCAGCTATAATCGCCGCGTGCTCGTTCCATGAAAACTTATTCCTAAGAACGAGCCATCGGATCATACGGATCTTTACGTTGCGATATCCCCACGTTAGCGACGTGACAGTTTCAATGTTTTTTCCTCACCGAGTTTCTTACAACGTTAACTCGTCAACCACCTATAATACTATCAGACGGAAAACCAAATCACGAACATCTGTTGCCGAAAGACTCGAAACGGTGAACATAACCTCAAAATGTCGGTTTGCATACGTCGTTAGGTAAAAGATATACCACGGTCCGTTGTCGTCGTTGTGTTGTCGTCCACGTCTCTCTCTCGTCGTCCGATGTACTCATCGACGAGCTTGCTCGTGGTTATGTGAGTGCGTGCGTGCGTGCGTGCGCGTTCCACCAACCTATAAACAACTTTCATCATGAACGTTTGCGAACTTTTCCAATCGTAACGATCGTTCGGAGTGTGGATCCCGGGATTACGTCGTATTGTCGGACACGATTCCATGAAAAACACGTCGCGTACACGAAGTCAAACAAAACGCTAGCGTGTACAAGCTCATGCTGACGGAGTGGAAAAGTTTCTACGTTGTAAGACGCGCGCCGCTGGACAAGGAACATCTGTCTGTTCGGTACGAGCCGCTTGGTGTGCACGTACGCTAAATGTCGTATCGTAGAGGTTAAAAGTCGTTATAAGGCGAGAATTTTTACTCGTCACTCCGTTACAAGACGATTATACACGTAAGCATGATAATTATTTCGAATGAAACTTAATGTATTGCATTTCGTTGAACGTTTTTAACATGCTGTGGAAACTTTCCATCCACGCAGTAACGCCGTCGTACAGTTTCGTGCTACATCCCGACGTATATATATATATATATATATATGTATGTATACCTGATCATTTGCCGACGAACGGACCGCTCCGTTTTTTCACGCTAAAACCTACTACCACGGGCACGAACGATATTTTTCATTCCCGTCTCGTCTCGCAACGCTCTCCTATCAATATTTCAAACTCGTCCAGCGAGAAACGAGAGAAGCGCTGTGTTACCACTCGAACGTTTCGCCGTCGATTATCAAAAAAGTCGTAACTTTAACAAACTATTACAAGGATCGAGAAGACCTTGCCTCGCGCGTACTGTCCTTCGTTTGTAAATCTTACGAGAGAGAGAGAGAGAGAGAGAAGGACGTTTAGAGTGAAAATCGTGGTCGTGTGGAGGCGAAACGTGGAGCGACGGGCAAAAGCGATTTCAAGGTGGAGGGAAGGAAAAAAATAATCATCGAATCGAATCGTTTTCCCGCGGAACTCCCGTCTGAAAATCCAATTAGTTTCATCCGTGTCCCCCTTCCACCGACGTTCGCCACTGCATCCACCCCCTTGTTCATCCACAAATCGATCGGTGGCGCTCTATATTTTCGCGTCTGATTATCGTTTTCTAATTATCCTCCGGCGTCTGCCAGTCCGTCGAGCAATAGGAAGTGGCAATCACGATCCAAGTGTATTTTTTTTTTCTTTTTCTTTGAATTCAGCTCGGACTAGGTTTCCCGGAAACGTGGCCTTCTCGAATGACCTTTCGGCCGTAGAAAGCCTTGCCCCGCGTCTACTCGACACGTGCGGACGACGACGCGTTTCAGAAGTACACGACGTGCGTGTAGTACTCGTTCCCGCACTTTTCATCGCTGTTCACTTTATCGTGCGTGCTCGAACCCGACTCGACGCGTCGTACGCCCCCATTTGCTGTTTTTTTTTCTTTTTTTTTTCGTTTTCCCTTCGCGTTTCCTCTTTAATCTCGCAACAGAGGAAGGGAAACGCGATACCGTTTTCGCGTTTCTCTGTGTACTTGGAAGGGTGAGGCGCCTACGTAAGAAACTACGCATAACAATTCGACGTTTCTGAGGACAGTAGGCTATTATTGGAAGGATATATCGTGCGATAAACTTGAAAGGAAGTTTAACCCTATACCGTGGAAATGTTCAATTTTCCACGAACAGGTTTTCCACACCAAATTCAACTTTTAATAATAAATAAGAACACTGAAAATGTGTTGCAATAATAATTATAAACACTAAAAAATTCAGCTTTCTCTTGTGCAGTAAAGCAAAATCGGAGCAATTCTAGTTTTTTACTAAATGTATATAGGGCTCAGTTTTATCGACATTAGACTTTCCTGGAATTCTTGCAATTTATAGGAAAGAGTAATTTTGTTTAAATTGTGATTTGAGGTTTGGACAAAATGTGAACAAACAGGTGAGTTTAATTTGCAAAAGGGTGAATTTGGAGTGCGAAACCTGTATAAACAACACATTCTTCGATATAATTCAACTTTTACTTGGATATTACGTCGATCTAAATTTCAAATACTCGATATGTATACAATTAGTAGTTAATTCACCCCTTGCCTTACGTCTCTTTCTACGATTGTGTACGTTACCTTAGACTGTTCGCTGTTTTAACCTATTTGCACCATTAGCGTATATATTCGCGCAATTTTCCTGGTCAGAATCATAGAAGCGTATGTATACGCGCGTTCAAGTTGTGGGTAAACGCAGACCACTAAAATTTCCCGTCAATTTCCCATTTCTCATTTTTTTCAAATGATGCAAATGGGTTAAATCTTTGCACTCAGTATGCCAGCTGGCACTGAAAATTCTGAAACATATAAATTCATACGTAACTGATAAAATCTGACGTTTCTTATTCATATCAAATAATTGCGCAATTTTTATCTCAAATTCTGCCTGTAATTACCGAGATGGTAGAACGAAACGTTGAAACCCTGCCGAGTGCAAAGGGTTGAACAAAAAAGTAGTCAAAGTATAATATAAAATTTCTATTTAGTAAAGCAAATTCACAGCAAAGATATAAATTTAATCGAAACGCGATTCTTCTTTTGTCACATATTGTCGATAATCTGCAACACAAGTGTGTCTCATAAGGCAAGGGGTTAAATCATTTGCATCGTTAACGTATAAACTCGCGCAGTTTTCCTGGAAAAACACCAGGAAAGAAGGAAAAGTTGCGCCATGTCCAGCATTACTGTCGAGATTCACCGGTCAACATTTTCCAGTACCGATAGGAACAGCTTCATCGAGAAAATCTCAGAAGCGTTGCGTAGTTTGTTCATCAGAAAAGAGGAGAGAAGGAACAATTTATCAGCGCGATAACTGCCAAGTGTAGCTCTGTGACCATTTCAAATCCTATCACGCTGCACAAAACAGTTGCTCTAGCTCGTTCAAATCAACGAAATATCAAGTGTACTTTATACTTTCCCACGTATTTGTAGTTAAATTTCCAAAAACAAAAAGAAATTCCTGTTAACTCTCTGGGGCATAGTGGGATTAAGTGCCCCACCTTTTTACGTAAATATGGCACGGTGGGATATTTTTTATACCACCTGGAAAAATTACAAGTGCTACTAGAACAGAGGTTAAGATATAAGTCCCGCCTATTTAAACCAGTTAGTAATGGTCTTTTACTCTATGCAAAGTACCTCTGTGTCTTGGGAAAAAGATGTGCTTTAACAAATACCATTCATGAATCCATATGGCACAGAGGGGCTGTTTAAGTCCCGCCCTATAATTAAAAGCTTAAACGACTGTTTATTTATTTTTGTGTTTCTCTTGTAATTTTACTTCCTTACTAGTTCAAATAAACCAACTTTGTTAAATTTGATAAATTTTATTTTATTTTACCAACTTTTTTATATTTTTATTAAATTATAAATTTTATTCTGTGCAACATAGTTTTTTTTATTTTCTAAAATCCCGTGCCTCGAAGAGTTAACTGTGTAAGACGAGTTAACTCGTCGTTGGTTAGCCAATACTTGGAATACGATAATTTATTTATCGAGAGATTATTCACATTTAATTGCACTCTTTTGCCGGAATTGAACTTAAAATACGTCATATTCATATTTGCTTATAATTCTTACTCATTTTTCACTATAAACTAGAAAGATTCAATTTCTCTTGGAAAGGTGAACACAGTTAACAGGTTAGAACCCTATTTTTCATTGTTTCTCTTCGTAACTTCGCGACGATCTAAACGACTAGCACGAGAATCTCCTTGGAGTTGAACCGAATATCGATCGATCCCTTCGACGAACGTGTATAATTCACTGCAGCGTTGTTGACATTTGTTGATTTTTACGTGACCTCAGCACGTGGGAAAACGGCGATCGATATCGCGCGACGAAAATGGAAAGTCGAGTTTCACCTTGAGAAATTTCTCCGAATCTTCGCTCTAACGTTGCCCGAAATATCCAAAATACTCGTCAGATAGGTAGCTAACGGATGGAAAAAGAGTCCCGTAGGAGAAGAAACGAGTAAAACTTTTGCCGAACGTTTGACATTCGACGAAAGAAAATCGCGTTTCTCGTGTAAAAATTAAACCGAGCACCGCCGTTTTTTACGCTCTCAGGATCTTTCCTGCGACGGAACTTTCTACGGAATATTTTATTTCTCCGGGTGAAAAGTTGGTACTTTGCCTCGAACGATCGTCGGTTATTGTGTCGCTCGCGCGGGATTCCTTCCGAAATCGCCTCTGACACGCTTCCAATTCGATCCACAAACGGTGATGCGGTGTGCTAGAGAGCCGTGTGTTTTCGCGAACGCGAGAGTCGCAAATAGAACGCGACACACGAGAGCCA